GATGAAATATAAGTGCGCGCCGGGGGGGGGGGGGGGTTAAGAGTTGAGAAGACAAAATGGGCAAATAACTATTAAGGAGTTAATCTCAAAGAGTATCGAGAAGATGGATGCAAGGAGTGGTTGATGTATGAGTAGATTTGATTTGATCTGATGGTTATGAAAGACCAATTAGAACGGAAATGGAGTTTTAACATAGTCAGCTGGGAAAAGCGACAAGTCATGAAATCCTAAAGCATCATGGTGTAGAAAAGGGCATCGTGTCTGTGGGACGAGTGCTTGGGTGAGGCTAGCGAGGAGGATTACCTTAGAGATCAACAGACTCATCATTATAAAAATAGTGGCTCTGTTTCACAGTATGAAAGAATTCCAAGATGTTTACACACACACACACACGCTATTACAAAATTAACTTCAGATCTCAGTGATGAGGAAATCTAGAGGACAAATATTTGGATCTGACAAGTTATGGAAAGATCAAATCAGCTTGTAAGGCTTGCATAAGCACCGTAACATGAAAGTGTAATAAATTATGATCAGGAAGAAGCTACAAGAGCAGAAGCATGTGATTCACAGGATGCTTTTCTCAAGGAAAATTCACTCGTTGATAGTTGTTTTTCCAGACTTCGTTGATGCTTATTTAACTAGTCATTTTTTTTAGAGATTTGTTTATGTATGCTCATGGGATTTTATTTTCCCAATGGCATTTGCTAGAACATTTATATACCATATTAATACAGGCCTACAATTGACAAATTTTGCTGAGTTGTTTTGGTTCTTCTGGGTTTTGTAACCATAAAGTCTTGACTATGTTTTCAGTTTCTTATTTCTGTCTAATAGTTGATGCAGTCACAGTTTTTAATTTTTTTTACCTTTGGTGCTAAATGGAGAGAAAGTGATGTCTGGTTTTTGTTTTGGATGAGGAACAAGGATGACTTATTCCGTGTGTTTCTTCTTGTTATTGTACAGGCCAAGTGATTAAAGGATGGGACCTAGGTATCAAGACAATGAAGAAAGGTGAAAATGCCCTTTTCACCATTCCTGCTGACTTGGCTTATGGTTCTTCTGGCTCAGCTCCAACTATTCCTCCCAATGCCACACTCCAGTTTGATGTGGAATTGCTGTCCTGGAGCAGCATCAAGGACATCTGTAAGGATGGTGGGATATTTAAGAAGATACTTGTTGAAGGAGAGAAATTGGAGAATCCAAAGGACCTTGATGAAGTGTTAGGTAATTTTAGTTGTTCGGCACTGATGAATTATTTTGTTTTTGTTGTTGCAATGACTCTAGTGCATTAACTGCTGTTTTGACTTCTTATTTATACAGTTCGGTATGAAGCTCGACTCGAGGATGGTTCAGTTGTTGCTAGGTCTGATGGAGTAGAGTTCACTGTTAAGAACGGTTAGTATTGTAAATCCTTGCTTGGTGATGTTATCTACCGCTGTCTCTCTCATTGGTGTTCTTAATGTATGGATGTATTATATGCCAGGTCATTTCTGTCCTGCACTGGCAAGAGCTGTGAAGACAATGAAGGAGGGGGAGAAGGTTCTCTTAACAGTGAAGCCACAATGTAAGCTGTCTTCTTGAAGACCTGGTTGGATTTGAACAATTATCTTGGTTTGCAAAATTCTCTTACCATTGTTTTAAATTTTTTAATTTAGATGGATTTGGGGAGAAGGGTAAGCCAGCATCTGGCGATGAAAGTGCTGTTCCACCTAATGCTAATATTCAGATTACTCTGGAGTTGGTTGCCTGGAAGACTGTGACGGAGGTAACTGATGACAAGAAGGTTATAAAGAAAATCTTGAAGGAAGGCAATGGATATGAACGTCCAAATGAGGGGGCTGTTGTAAAAGGTTGGTCTTGCAAAACAGGAAAGAAAATGCTTAGCTGCCTTATATTATAGTGTTCAGACCATATAATGACTGATTTTGCTGCTTGCAGTGAAATTGATTGGGAAGTTGCAAGATGGCACAGTATTTTTTAAGAAGGGACAAGATGACAGTGAGTTGTTTGAATTCAAGACAGATGAAGGTAAGTTCCATTGTGGTTCTTTCCCCTCTCCCCTCATTCTATGTTTCTTCAAAACGTGTTTGTGACTATTGATGTTTTGACAGAGCAAGTAATTGATGGACTTGATAAAGCTGTGACTACGATGAAGAAAGGTGAGCTGGCCCTTTTGACCATTGCACCAGAGTATGCATTTGGCTCATCTGAGTCGCAGCAGGAGCTGGCTGTTGTTCCTCCAAACTCTACTGTGTTCTATGAGATAGAGCTGGTTTCCTTCGACAAGGAGAAGGAATCATGGGACATGAATACTGATGAGAAGATTGAAGCTGCTGGCAAAAAGAAGGAAGAGGGCAATTTGTTGTTCAAGGCTGGAAAATATGCAAAGGCATCTAAAAGATATGAGAAGGTAACTTTTGCAAAAAATGCTTGGCGTTTACTGAATAATTGGATTTGTGAAATGCTCCTCCTGTGTAATACGTATTTGAATATTTGTTGGGCTTTGTTTCAGGCTGTGAAATATATAGAATATGATTCTTCTTTTAGCGAGGAGGAGAAAAAGCAGGCAAAGGCACTGAAGGTCGCCTGCAACCTAAACAACGCTGCCTGCAAACTGAAATTAAAGGATTACAAACAGGCAGAGAAGTTGTGCACCAAGGTAAGAGACGTGAAGTTATTTTCTTGTTCCTGTATCTTGATTCAGTCTTGCATCAGTTATGCGGATGGGGTTCTGATATAGTAACTGTTCAGGTATTAGAGTTGGAGAGTAGAAATGTGAAAGCTCTCTACAGAAGAGCCCAGGCTTATATTCAGCTTGCAGATTTGGATCTGGCTGAGTTTGATATCAAGAAAGCTCTTGAGATTGATCCTGACAACAGGTAGGTTTTGTATTCCGGTTGAACAGAAGTGGTTTTTTATTTGTTTCTTCGGAGTCCCCTTCCATGTTAGTTAATCTTGTACATCACATTTATCATTTAAAACTAGGGATGTCAAGCTGGAGCACAAAGCTTTGAAAGAAAAGATGAAGGAATACAATAAGAAGGAAGCCAAGTTTTATGGCAACATGTTTGCCAAGATGTCTAAGTTGGGATCTCTTGAATCTAATGTAAGTATGCAGCTTAAACTGATACTTCTAACTGCTACAATGCCCAAGTTCTTTATAAGCTTACCGTGTTTTGCCTCTTTGAGGTATAGATCAGTATGTTTATTAGAAGCAGAGCCATTGATATTTAGTCCTTTAAAAAATTTTAATGGTCAGCGCATACAGAAAATTTTAAGTGATTTTCTTCCCTTTCCAATTATTGATTTACTGTCGACTCCGTGCATACAGAAAGCCGAAGCCAAGGAGGCAGAGCCAATGAGTGTAGACAGCGAGGCATGAGCAGAGAGTAACAAGTTGGCACTGGACTATCACGACAAGGCAGAGTAAAATTCTAATCATTTTCTTTTAATTAACAATTCAAGGTTTTGCCTTGGTACCTAAGACTGCTTCTGTCTGGTGTTTTTCCCGTTTATGGTAATGGGTTTTTATCTGCTACCAGTATAAGATTTCATTAACTATCATTGTAAACAACTTCGCTCCGTTTGAGTTTTTCCCGATTTCTCTAGCTGTGCTCTGAAGAAGTTTGGATTTTACATGAGCATGTGCTGCTGATGTCAGTCACGTTACAGTTATACACACACACACACACACCACGTTAGAGGAGGAAGATGGTCAAAGTCAACGCAAACGAGTTAGAGTAGGAAGATGGTCAAAGTCAACGCAAACGAAAAAAACCAAATACAAGAGAGGCCAGGTGTAAATGTGATGTAACGCAAAATTATTGGCTGTGCCTTTGCTGTTGCTTGCTTGTCAATGCTAGGCCAGCAACGGTTAAAATCTGTCGATGGCTTGCTTTGGCCGCGTTGTTTGAAACAGGTGGCAGTGGTCTATAGGGCAGGCAATCTTCTATGATTTAGTCCGGTGATCCGTGTAAGGTGGGTTGGACTTTAGTTTGATTTGATAAAAAAAAAATAATTAAAAAAAAACTATCGATAAAATTAGTTCTAGGGAGAGCAGGGCTAGATGTGGAGACGATGGTTCTTTTAGGTTTTTCTAGATTCGTGTCAAATATTAAGGTGGGTAAAGGATTTGTCGGATACGCCACTCAGGAAAGTTTTACTTGTGACGGGTTACATCCTATTAGTTTATATTTTCAAAAAAATATAAAATTAAATTTAGAAATTATCGAAAGTGGGTGTGATGATACTAGTTTTTCATAAACACTACAAAAATACTCGCATCACTCAACCCTCGTCTGTTTTCTAGAACCTGTTCTTATGGAATTATAATTTTAAAAGGATACCGATGTAGTTTTTATGAATGAACTGAAGTTTAGATTATATTTTAAGAGTTTTATAATTTATGAAAGGAAATGTAATTTCTTTTTAAACATGGATTCTATACCTTAGAACTTTATTTATAACAAGGTTAAAAAACCAAAAACCCTTGATGGGATCAACACTAAGAGTACCCGTCAAATGAAAGAGAATTATTTGTCCACATCCAATCTGATGCTTCAGATACTTTTAGACAGGCGAGTGGAGCAAAATCAAGCCTCAATCTACAATCCCTCCTAGGCGTAACATGATAGGCATTCAACCAAAGAAGCACACCATTGTGGAGAAGCTGTTCTAGCAAATTGGAAAAGCTCCACTCAGCTAATACCGTACATTCACCCAGGCCCTCTCAAAGCAGGCATTCTATTCCAGAAGCTTTAACATAAAATAAATTTCACTAAATGATAATATCTTTCGAGTTTACATTTGTGGGTAAACAATCTATGAAATAGCGATCTTCAAAAAGAATGAGAACGACATATAATGTGACAATCCAATGACGCCCGCTTCATCCATCTTGGCACGCAAGTGCACGTTTCCGTTACACCACGACACAAAAAGCCACCGAAATGAAGCAGCAGGGCGGAGAATCGATGCCCTGCACTAATTTTAGAGTGTCCCGGTGCCATCCACCACTCTGGGATTACCTTCAATAACCTCCAGCGTTGAGATGACAGCCACAATAATACAGCGGTCCTTTACTCACAAAAGAAGAGAAATTAAAATAAATAAATGAACAGAACACAAATCCTTGCCGAGAACAGACGAATAGGCTGCTTCAATCAACTGTGAAATAACGTCTACGGTTCTGAACAGTGTAGTATCTAATTTGCTTCAGTCACAGGCTATTTGGGGGAGAGTCGTCAATCTTGGATGTCACGATATGACGGTCAACTCACCTGTTCTCCAATCAAGTCAAGACCAACAACCAGAAAACTTATCCCTTGAAATAACAGGAAGTAGAAGTGAATTCCTTGGGCCGATAGCAAGCTTCTCACCGAGGCAGTCAACAGTATCAACGCCAGAGCAAGTTCCTTCCTATACAAACTATTTCTTTTCTTTTTCCCAGTTTTCTTGGTTGTTTCTATCTTGTTCAGCACATCCAGCCCTGATTCCGAGCAAGACCTGTGGAGATTTGTAGTTTCCACCAAGGGGTCAGATTCCCTTTCAGCAAATGCAACTAGGTCTGCCTCTGACGATCTTCCTAATTTCTTTGTGACTACCCACTCATAAGAACTTCCTAGTTGAAACAATCCGGATATCATGGCATTGAATTTGGTCACGGACATGGTGTTCTCAAACAGAAGGTATGGGACGATGAACGGGAATGACCGTGGTGCTGGGAGAATATTCAAGATAGACATCAATCCAGGGATATAGCAAACAACCCAAGCTGGTAGCTCTGCTTCTGGTAGGAACATGGAAAGTGGGAGAATGATGCAGAAGAGAGTGAAGGAGTAAAAAGGCAGGATAAGCTTCCTTAGCAAGAAGAAAAGAAATATCAAGTTTGCTTTCTTGCCAAAAGACACCTGTAATTTGGAAGGAAATATTTTAGGTTGTTGACACTAAATGTAGTCGAAAAGATTCACTGCATTGGAAAACTTCTTAGGCAGATAAATCCTGCTTTCAGTACCTTTGCACGAAGTGTGTCGACAAAACACAAGCGGAACAACTGCATTGGACCAGAATGCCAGCGATGTTGCTGTTTCTTGTAAGCCTCATAGGACTCTGGAAGTTCACAAAGGCACTGCAGAAAGACAGAATAACACAATTACATTGATTATCCAGCTCAAAATGTGTAAGTTTTAATACCATGACAAACCTTAACGTCATTCAAATATATGAACTTCCATCCACAGAGATGAGCTCGAACAGCAATATCCATGTCTTCAACAGTTGTCCGTTCCAACCAACCACCACACTCTTCAAGGGCTTTAATCCTCCATACACCAGCAGTTCCATTGAAACCAAAAAAGTTGATGAAAACACCATTCACCTGTTGCTCAACCTCAAAGTGGAATGATAAGTTTATGTTCTGCAGTCTTGTGAGCAAGTTCTCATCCTTGTTTACAAACGCCCACCTTGTCTGGACCAATGCTAGGTCATCCTTCCCCTACAAATTCAGAAACAATTCACTAAAATCATCGCAACAAAGCAGATTATTCTCTAACAAAAAACACAGTGGCCAAATCTAGAGAGGCATCAGCTCACAAGGTTACCACATTCAACCAGTTGGAAGCTCCAGTGTGCCGACATCAAAACTAATCATGTAATTATGTGCTAAGTGAAATAATAGCAGATATACCAAATCAATGGTGCAAGAGAACTTAAACTATTATACAGGTTACAGCAAATTGATCATGACTTTACCTTGAAGTGAGGGATAGTTTTCTTCAAGAAATCAGGTCCTGGCTGAAAATCTGCATCGAATATTGCCACGAACTCGTAATCTTTTACATAATCACAGCTCATTGCAGATTTCAGGTTTCCTGCCTTGTAGCCTGTGCGTATGAGACGATGCCTATACAATATATGCACACCCCTTTGTTGCCATTTCTGTACTTCTGCCTTGATGAGGAGTTGAGCATCTAATTCATCAGAATCATCCAAAACCTGTATAAGCATTCTCTCCTTTGGCCAGTCCTGGACACAGCATGCTGCAATAGATTGTTGGTAAACCTGTATGCCAACCAATGATTTTTAAAAATTAATCCACTAGGTAAAGTGAATTCTACGAATAATTACATGGCTAACTAATCCACTAGGTAAGTTTCATTTGCTAGTGCAGTGAAGTAAGGTTAAAACTGCGTTTTGTTTTAGCTACATTTTTAAAAATATTTGATTAATAAGCACATATTATATTTTTATTCGAATACTAGTGAAATTCTTTGCAATGAAAAAGCTACAATTTATAGTTTTTCTTATACTTTAATAAATCGTAATCCCAAAAACTATAACAATATCAAACACGTAATGGTATAATTAGCTAGTATGCTTCTTTTTTAAAATGATTTTTAAACTATTGTAATGCAATAATATCATAAAAAATAACATAAACATACAAGATAACAAATTCAGTAATATTTTAAAAAAAAATAGTTGAGGATTAGAAACCTACATCTGCTTGCTTACCTCCCTTTCATTGCACATTGGAATCTGCACCAAGACCATAGGATAATCCTCCACGCTCTCACTACCATCATACTCCACCGCCGCCACCGGCCGCAGTTTCCAAAACTTGATCCAAAAACACCCTAGCATCAACACAACACGATCCACCGACTGTATCAAAAACAAGATAATACACACATTTGTCAAGCTCTGCAGCGGGGGCGCCAAGTAACTAGCTCTTATTTCCAACCACTTGGCATAGACTCTCTCCACGGCAGCCTCCGCCGACTCCACCGACGGGGGGCTGAAATGCCATCCCTTGAAATAAGCAACTAACTCGAAACACAACAACAAAATCACCAGAAATAAAAACAATTTTATGATCCTGTAAAGCCGCCGTGACGAGGCCGAGGAATCGGATGGCGAGTCTGTTTTGTTCGTCGCGATCCTGCGATTGGCTGTTCGGAGAAGGGAAACTGAGCCATTGGTTAGCCACGCGAGGGAGGTTGCGAGTTGTTGGAATTTGAGGAGCCAAAGCCAGGACAGCTGGCGAGCACTACGAGTGTGTCCTTTATCGACGGTTGGATCCGAGGTAGGGTTGCGGATCTCGACGGTTAAGAAGGCGGTGCTATCAGGTTTGTCGAGAAAGCCGCGTTGCTTGTTCCACCATTCTTGAAACTCGTGGTTTTGTGCTTGACTGCTCATGGATAAAAGGTAAAAATTTAGCAAACGCAAGTGACTCTACTGGCTACTCCTATATTATAGAAGCTAAGGGAAGGAGAGGAAGGCAGAGGAGAAGACAGGCCATGTGATATGATGTATCTGTGCAGTTTCCTATCCAGATTTTGATCCGCACGCCCTAATCACGGAGATGCTCCGGGGGCGGCCTCGACTCATGTTTTTAGACGAAAAATTTTATGGTACTGGCTATTTAATTACTGGATAAAAAATAATTAAAATGTTTCCAAGTAATTATATAAAAAATAATTATAATATAAATTTTAAGAAATTAAGTGTTTTTTAATTAATTTTTTTATTTATATTTTTAACTTGGACATTAGTTTTTTATTAGGTTAACTCAATAATATGTATATAATTTTGATTTTATTAAGAATACAAATGTGATATTATTAATTATTTTTTATTTATGATGGGATGTGATATTTTATATTTGTAAAATGTTATATTAGTAAAAGAATTTTTTTTTGAAAAATAAATTAATAATTATATAAAAAATCATCTCATAATGTAAATTATTCAATTGTCATGTAATTAAGCTGGATAACGAATATTAAAAATTTAATCAATTTATAGAAATTAAGCATTGATATTTAATTGAATGTATTCAGAGAGTATGAGAGTTAATTGAACGAATTCAATGAAGGCAAAAACTAGTTAATTAAATTAAAAATTTGGGGATAGGGTTTAATAATTTACAGACAAGCAAAATTTCGGATTTTGCCACTTGCTTATTCATGTGGCGCGTGATGAGATTCGTTATGACATGATGATGATTGATGATGTGTGTGTGTCTATATATATATATATATATATATATATATAGAGAAGGCGATCAAAGCTTAAAAACTTAACGGTGTCTATTTGGATGGCTTCTCTTGTCTTCGTGTCTTGTCTTGTCTTGTGTGTTTGACTGAGGAGATCGAATTGGAGAGGCATTTCTAGTTTTAGCATGTTTAGGCCTTTAACCAGTGTTCAGTTACTGAAAAGGTTAAAAGATGAGACAAAAACGTGCTTTAGGATTAGTGTTTAGTAACCAGTACCGTGAAATCCGTGATTAGTTTGAATTTTATATAATTAAATTGATTTGATAAAACAATTCATGAATTAAAATTTAATTTAACTTAGCCAAGTTAAATTATTGTCAAATTAAGTTTAAATTTAAATTAGATGAAAATTAATTTGATGTACCTTGAGTAACCTAATAAATTGATAATATAATAAAAATTTGGTTTAATTTTTTTAAATATCAATTTATTTTTTTTGTAAAATGAAAACAAAACTATTTTAAATTAATTTGTGTTAACCCAGCCCTTGAACAAGAATATAAATTATGTCAAATTCAATAATTTTGATGAGGATGATAATTGTAATCATTTGTCTAGGAATTAATCTGAAACAAAACTCGAAAGACGGATTGATAGATTAAAATCACGATTTAAATAAATAAAAAATTAAAAATAATATCATTTTTATAGCAAAAATTATTAAACAGAGAGTTATAGGTTTGATTAAATCTAGATCATCCAATTTTTTATTTTTTAGTTTTTAACCTAAATCATTCCGGACATTAGATTCCAAGTCAAGCTGCCAAGTTGGTTCGGAATTTATTACAGTCGTTAGAGCAGTAAGGCAGGAGCGTGGGATATAGGGTCGTGAAAGCCACTAGACAAGCAAATTGCTTAACCTTTTGAACGTGGGCATAAGAAGGTACAAATAAAAGGCTTTTGCAATTATATCTTTGTGTTTTAAAAATATTTTGTTTTTTTTATTATAAATTAATTTTTTTTAATTTTGTTATATCTTTGTGTTTTGAAAATATTTTGTTTTTTTATTATAAATTAATTTTTTTTAAATTTTAAATTATTTGAATGTGTTATGTCAGAAATAATTTTTTTTAAATTAAAAAATATTATTTTAATTTATTTTTAAATAAAAAACATTTTAAAAAATAAGGCAACAGGTTTCCAATCTAATTTTATTAGCACGTTTTTAAAATAAAAATATTATTTTTATATTAACTTCACCTTTAAATAATTAAGTGATATTAATTGTTTTATAAAATAAATAAATAATGCATCCTATTTAATAACAAATATGGAATACAATCTTTTATCTTATAGTAAATTCATCCTTGCCATAATTCATTAGACTTGCCTTATTTCTAAAACATTTTCTTGTTACTTCATTCATGTCTTTTTTTCTATGTTTAGGTTTTCTCTAATTTTTCTTTTCTTTTCCTTTCTTTGGAATTTCAACTTGAATGCTTGGGGTAGTGGCAGAATAAAAACTGTTCCTTTTTCAACATTTTTTATTTCCTTAACCATTTAAGTAGAATATCAACAATATTTATATATATAAGATGGCTATCCTTTACAAAAATTAAAGAACACAAAATACTGATTTTCCTGCTGATAAAAAACCCTAAAACATCTACGAAAGGAAAATAATTAAATTGAATTTATGAAAACCCTAAAAAACAGCTAGTAAATGGTCTGAGAGTACTGTAGCTTTTGTTTTTTAGTATGTTCTCAGCATGCCTTTCATTTTAAAAATAATAAATTAATATTTTTTTAGTGTTTTTAATAATTTTGATATACTAGCATAAAAAATAAATAAAAATATTTTAATATATTTTTAAACAAAAAAACACTTTTAAAAAATATCATATTCTATCAAACTAATCCTACATTAATCATGGATTGTCATCTGAGAAAGATCATGAACATGTGGACTCACATGTAACGATAGTTTGATTGTATGGTGACAATTTTTCTTCTTCTTTTCGTCAGGAAAGCCCAGCCCAAAACCCAGAAAGTGTCTTCTTCTTTTGGTCATGAAAGGGGCAGGAAAGCCCAGCCCAAAACCCAGAAAGAAGCCCTAAACTCCCTCACACCTTGTAAATCCGTGGACTAACACTCTACGATGCAAGCTGGAGATTCAGAATGATGCCTGATCGATACTAACACTATCCTATTTTTCTGCGCATGAATTTGCTTGACGATAGGTATAGTGTGTTTCAATATTCCTGACATAGCTGACTACCATGGAATAAAATCCTGCGTCTACTTCATGCTCCGAACCCCCTACAGGCAGAAGGCCAGCAATCACTTTGGAATCTACTTCCGAATGAAGATGCCTCACACCCATATTCGACACTTAAAGGCTAGCCTTGCTGTGTCAAGTCTGTTAGAGGCTAGCTTTGCTGTGCAGTGCGACCAAACAGTCTCCAGGTTCTTACCACAGGACCTAGCCTTGCTGCTCCAGATTAAGCACCAGTAGCACTACGATACCCCACGCCAAAGGCTAATCAAGTCTCAGCAAACATCCTCTACAATTTGTTAGAACACCAGCAGCATCAAGCATGTCAATATTCAATTTAATCCACTAACTAGGTGGATTATATAGGTAGATTATATTGATTGCCGGCAAGACTTGAGTTACAAGATCAATCCAAATTTTTTTTTAAAAAATCAAAATAATATTTTTTTGATTTGTTTTAATAAGTCAATGTATTGTTTCTCGGATCAATCAATCTAAGATTTTTATTGGGTTAACACATCGATCCAAATTTTTTTTAAAAAAATCAAAATAATATCTTTTTGATTTTTTTTAATAAGTCAATGTATTATTTCTCGGGTCAATCAAATCACTAAATCAATCTAAGATTTTTATTGGGTTAACTAGGTTTTTTTTTAATACTTTTTTAATTTAGATTGATTTAAGTTCTTAAACAATCTGATCTTGACAAGACCTGCTTAAACAAAATATTAGATATTTTTTTTTAGATGCAAGGGAGTTGTGATGAGTTTATAGCTTGTGAATCTCAGGCGATTAATTTATAATTTTTAGAAAAAAAGGTAAATTAGTAATGAATTAATAGGATATGTAATGAGTATGTTTGTTATTTGATTGCATTTTAATGAACTATTTTTTATTATTTTTTTATATTTTTTAAATGATGTTGGGGAGAATTTATCATTAAATCATGATTAATTAGTTCTAATGTCTTTTTTTTAAAAAAAAATTTATATTTATACAAACACCAAATAAGTGATATACATCAATAACACAAAATTAACATATTCTTTAAAAACAAATGATTTTATATGAAACGAATAAAATATGAAGCTTTACTATTAGCTTATCCTCACCCTTCCCTAATTAAGCACGAACGACATGCATAATTAGATATAATGGATCATGTAATGCAAGTATCCGTTATATATCTGGTTGCTTAATTTTTAAAATCATAATTATAACTTAAAGACTCCTTACATTATAAGCACGGCATCAAACAAAAACTATGTAGTGAGCCATTCATGATAAAAAGTAATCATGCAAGGATCTAATTGAAAATATTTTTATTATAAAGACTAAATTGTATCTTTATAATATACAAGGATAAAAATCCCAAATGAGGACCAATCTGTGAGTGACTTGTAAATTAGGGATTGAATATGTTTTAAAAAAACTACAAGGACTAAAAGGAGCTTTGCGATGTACCCCGTTGCGTTACTAAAAGTTAGTTTTGCACAAAAAAAATAATTATTCTATTAGACACTTAATTACATAATAATACATTTCATCGTACAAAGATGATTTCCATCGGTTTTCGGCTCTATATTCTGACATTAGTTAAGTGGCAAGGCCCATGTTATAGTTTTATATGGGGCTTTAAGGAAAGGCCCAATTATAGCACTAAATATTATTTATGGGCCGGAACTAAATATTTTGTTTGGGCTATAACGGAACTAAAAGTTATCATTGGTGCTCTGTAGTAAAAAGAAAACTAGACAAATGGCAAACAGCTAGACAGAGCCTCTTTGTGTTAGGCAACGATGGACATGGGCAAGGCTCCGACTTTAGTCCTTTGCATCTCTATTCTCACGATAACAAATAGGGCCTTTGAGTTACATTCTGTAGGCCCATTATCTCTATTTTCCAATCCTACGGGCCTTCAAGAAGAAACCCGTCGAAATAAACTAGTGGTGTTTTTACTTGACTTTCCTTTTCCCCTTCTTTACCGACCAATCTTTAATTATACGGTTTTCAAACTCGGTTCGGGTCTGATCTGGCTTAAAATTTGCCAGGTCAGCCCAAATATTTTATAAAACGACATCATTTAGAATGAAAAAAACTCTTAGAATTGATTTAGCTAGGTCTCACCTGAATTTCAAGTTG